TGGTTTATTGGAGATAGGAGTCTCACGGTCTCTCCTGCCCGGGCTGGCTTTGAACCGCGATCCTCAGATCTCAGCCTCCTGAGTAGCTAGGATTACAAGTGTGAGCCACCAGCACCCGGCTCTTCCTATTGTTTTTATATTAAGATTACCTACTTATACTTGGGGCTTTTTACTTAGTTTCCAACTAAGTTTTATATTCAGTTCTAAAAATTATTCTTGCATTATAAAGTGATTGATCACTTTATTTTATCAATAATCAACTCTTTTTTATTTTTATTTATTTTATTTGTGAACTCAATAATCAACTCTTATCTCTATAAATAATATTTTAGTATCTTTTATTAGATACTTCAATATTGTTCTTCTGACTAAAATGTAATCTATATGACATTTCCTAGTTTAGCTATCCTAAAAAAAGAGAAACAGCTTATAACAAATATATGACAAAAAGATGATTATTTTAAAATTAATTTTTATAATATCGTCAAGACTTACCTTAGTTCATTCAGAGATCTGGAAGGTGCTTTGTCTGCATATGAAATCCTGGGAGCCATAACAGCATTTACTCTTAATTTTTTATTGTCACGAACCTGAGTGTATGGGAAAGCCAAGATTATTTTCATTATTATACACTTACAATAAAAGTAATTTGTAAAGTTGCCATTTTGCTACCGTCATTCATGGGATAAGAAATTTGAATACTTGATATTTGATTAGGAGAAAATTTTACTGTGATGTTATTGTAGCAGTTATATACTTTTACAAAGAGACAATTTCTTCCCCTCCCTCCCCCCCTCTTTTGTTTGGAAATGATCTTGCTAGATAATTCAGCCTAGCTATAAACTTGTGATCCTCCACACATGGCAAGAGTCCCTTTTTTATTTTTAAGAGGTAAGTGTTGAAATTTGAGACTTACTTCAAAATAATACAAAAGGGAAAACAATATTTTCATTAAGAGCAGATTTTCTTGTATTGGGATAACTTGTCTAAAAATGATTATAAGCTCTGGGCAAAAAATTTTAACTATCACGAGAAGGCACTAGAGAAATAGAAGCTGGAGTATAACTGACATCTAGAAGCAAGAGGACAGCATGAGAAATAGAAGCTGGAGGGTAACTGACATCTAGAAGCAGAGGACAGCATCAGGTGAGTGAGATTTGTGTTTATGTGGCTTATGGTTTGAGGGAATTTCCCAATTTGCAGTATGGGAACAGAAATGGAATTCAGGTAGAAAGCTGCAAGCTTCTGGCTCACAGGATGTTATTTGTGGCAACAATAATGGCTATACTGATGATAAATTCTTAGAAGGTGTTACAAAGTGAAAAGCCTCAAAAATTTGTATATAAATTTGTTTCATTTTTCTAATTTGGGGAGGGGAAGGGAAATAACAAAATGCTAAAATAAGGATACAGGTGGACCCATTGTAACAATGAGATATACAAGACACTATGTTGAAAAAGAACTTTATAACTTGAGAGGGGGTGGGGGGGATGGGAGAGGGGAAGGGCTGGAATGGTAGCAGAAAAACAAAGGAGGGGGTAACAGTGCTTGGCAGGAAAGGTATTCATTATCTTACTCATGTAACTGTAACCTCTGTACAGTATCTTTACAATAAAAATATATATTAATAAAAATTATGTTTAAATTCTTAAGTGATCTATAAGCTATAAAGGTATTGACAAATTCGAGGTGGAAATATGTGAAAACAGAAAGCTGAAAAACACTGAATGGAAACTTCAGTTGGTAACCAATATACAGGATACAGATTGAGTCCAGCTGAGTTAACTGTCTGCTTGTCTCTTTAAAGTAAGTGAATATGTCTTGACAATTATCTACAATTTCATGTACAATAAAAAGAATTACTATGTATAAGAAAAAAATGATATTATACATAGTTAAGAGAAACTAACTTCATATGAACTCAAAGGCTGGAATTAGAAAATAACAACTTTAAAGCAGCTATTACATACATGCAAGAAAACTATCATCATGATGAACAGATGACAAATTAGCAGATTAAAATAAAATTAAATTGAAATCTAGAACTGAATTATGCAGTGCCTTAAATAAAATACTCACTGACAGGCTTAGTGGTGAAAGATTAAACATTAAATAGACAATATTTTGAAATACTTTATTTGAAATACTTTATATATTGAAATACTTTAATTGAAATACTTTATTTTGAAATACTTTATTATATTGAAATACTTTATCTAGATAAACTAGATAAATTAGATAAACTAGAAAAACTGCTTGAATGCAAATATACTGCCAAATTTGTAACATGATAATGCAAAGACACTCAAGACCTGGACATTCTCACTGATAAGTTCCATAATACAGCATGGAAGCAATAATGCCAAAACTCAACAAAAGGTAGAAGAAACACCCTTTCCAGTTCTGATACCATGTAAGGTATCTGGTACAGGATATGCTGGCCATTTCTAAACAGAAATTATCTAATTACATATTGCTGCACATGCTTCAATGTTCTTACAGACAGATAAAAAGACCTACAGAATGAGAAGTCTTTGCCATCTATATGTCAGACAATGGTCAGATAACCATAAAACACAGAGCTCTAAATCCTCAAAGAACCAACAACTCAATTAATAAATGGGCAAATGAGCTAAACAGACTTAGAAGTAAAAATAGGCAATAAATACATGAAGAACTTTTCCACACGTCTGGTCATAAATGAAATGCAATTCAAAACAACATTAAGATTCCATCTTATCCCAGTTACAATACAAACAACAGATGCTGTTTGTGGGAACAGATCCAGATGTGGGGAAAAGGAACTCTAATGAACTACTGGTGGAAATGTAAACTTGCTCAGTCAGTCTGGGAAGCAGTTTGGAAATTCCCCAAAAACAAAACCCTATGATTTAGCAATACCACTCTTGGGCATTTATCCAAAAGAATATACAAATCAGAATACAATAAAGCCACTTGCACAACCATGTTCATTGCTGCACTATTCATACTAGCCAAGGTACAGAAAAAGCCCAAATGCCCTTCAACGGAAAAAATAACTCAAGAAAATGTGGTATACATACACATGGAATTTTACTCATCCATTAGTAAGAATCATGTAACACATCTGCAAAGAAATGGATAGACCTGTAAAAAATTATTTTAAGTGAAGACAGGTCCAAAAAGATAAAGGATATTTGTTGTCTCTCAGATGTAAAAGCTAGATCCAATTTATATATATACAAATACACACACCTGAGGTTGTAAGTAAATGTACACAAATGTATTAACCGAAGTACAGTATTTAAAGGCAAGAATTCAAATGGTGTAATTTCTTAGAAGAACTTAACTGTGTATCAGGAAACTGGAATTCAAAAGGGAAGAAGTCAAAAAGTAGAGGGGCAGATGAATGAAGAGGGGAAGGAAATGGAAAATCCAGTCATAATATTTAATGCATATCCAATGAAACTAGGAAAATTGAGTGGAAGAGTCGGTTTGGTTAGAATGACCAAGAGTTGACCTTGTACTTATAAACTGATTTGTTGAATGGTAAACTGTTTGTAAAACTACTTAAAGATAATAAAAACAAAACTTAAAATTAGTGCTAAAATTAAGTGCCACATGAACCAATGTGTATGTTGGTTAGTACTTGCCTCTTTGAGGAAAATCTCCATATCCTCTTGACTTTCAAAAACAAAGGCTCTCAAGTCATTAGACGGAATGTGATTTTCAACATATTTGGCATTTTTATTATCTTTCATATTGATCTAAAACAACAAAGAATTAAAAACAAGTTGATTTCATAAAGTCCACTAATTGTAAGAATGCTACATTGTTCTTATATTTATTTACTAAATTAAGTTTAATACATAAGAAAGACAAAAAGAGAATGACATGGTACTGAGGGGTCATTTCCAGACATCCATTTGAATTTGCTACAAATAAAATTAAACAAGAGCTAAGATTTGAATTACCTGAGTAAAAAAGAATACAGTATGCATATACTAATTTTTCTAAGATAAACAACATTCCACGAATTCTGCAAAGATCTGCGGTGCACTTTTTTGGAAAAAAAAAGTCTAGCAAAAGTAGTCACTTTGGCTAAGTTTTAAATCTATGTATCTATATTTAAAATATTATTAAGTAATATGGTTTTTCATTTTTTTATGACATAGCCAAACGAATCATTTTACATTTCAGATGAAAATGATCTTATTACATCATGGCCATACTTTGTTAAAGTATTTGCAGAATATAATTTCATCTATTCTTGATCACAATTATCAATGAGTCACCAAATACTTTGTTTCATCTTCAAAATCCTTACAAATCATCCCTTCTCCCCTTAGATTCTGGTATCAAGGACTGAACTCAGTGTCTTATACTCTGCTTGTTGCTCAATGGCTGGCACTTTACCCTTTAGATAAACCTCCAGCTAGTTAATTGGCAATATACTACTTGAACTTTTCTGCCCAGGATTGCTTCAAACTGTGATCTTCAGGTCTCAGCCTAATGAGTAGTTGAGATTACAGGTGTGAGCCCACTAGCATCCAACAAAAGGCCCCCTTTTTTAAAGAGCAGATAATTTTCTTTCTTTTTTTTGGGTCTGGTCATGGGGCTTGAACTCTGGGCCTGAGTGCTGTCCCTCAGCTCTTCAGCTCAAGGCTAGTGCTCTACCACTTGAGCCACAGAGCCACTTCCGGCTTTTTTCTTTTTGCTTATGTGGTCCTGAGGAATTGAACCCAGGGCCTCAGGCATGCAAGGCAAGCGCTCTACCACTGAGCCAC